ATACCTGTTATCTTGGATGTACACACACAACAGTACCATGTTTAACACACTGTGAGAAAGCTGGTAATGGTGAACACCAAATAAAAAAGAAGAGAAAGGCATCTATAATTCTTCAGAGAGAAGGAATAGAGGACACTGTACTATACAGCAATTTAAATCTGAACAGTTGGAGTGATAAAGGTAAAACTCAAGGCAAGCCTACAGAAAGAAAGTGGGAGAGAAAACAAAACAAAAATTAAAAAATTCAAACCCACAGATGCACTAATCCTTTAAATAACATAGAAGTTGCTGGCAGATACTATCACCCAGCATTGTATTAACTGGAGAAACACAGATACGAGAGGTTTGAAAGCACAAAGAAGGAATGGTCTGCACAAACTGGCTCTTTGCAAAGAACACTGTGCTGTGTACAAGGATGCAGTGTCTAAATCAGGCAATAGCACTTTGTGAGTTAATGAAAACCTCTAGTTAAACCAATTGTAGAGTCACCACTACCATTAATTAGTTTTTTATTTATATGTTATGATCTTCCATGAAATGCTTAAAAGCAACCCATCTGAAAGGCTTTTATAAAGAAAGACCATAAAAATTAAGTGTATGTGGGTGTCAAGGAAAGTTAATGACAAACTTTTGTAAAATATATTTTCAAGATATTGACTTGGATTTCTATCTTAGTTTAGTTTTTAAACCACCAGTGCATTATTCCCAAACATTTTTCTTTATGTGGAAGCATTTAAATAATTTTATTTCCCCCAACAAAATTCTTTATGCACCTAACAAATAAACCAATGTTGATTTACCTAAGCTTGGGCATTTATTGCACATTGGAGACTTGTTCTGAAGACTTGTTGAGAAATACTCAGACAGGTTCTGTGTGTTTGGCAAGATCCATGTGTTATAACTTTTTCCGCCTCTGATCAGTGTCATCAATCATATGACCAGGTAGTACACTAATTCCATGAACAGAGAGATTAGTGGAAAACCAGAGCTTCCACTTCTCTTACTGCTAGGGCTTAACCTTCATTATGTTACTCACCATTCTCTGTAGTTTCTTTAAGAAAATACTGTAATTCAGAAAAATACCAAGCAACAGCAAGAAGTCATTAGTTTAAATTGTAAATAATGGTTGAATTTGTTCTAATTTTTATTTTCAAAGCACCCTTTTGTAATAAGACACTGCCTGCAATGTCTGCTTAAAGGATTTAATTTTGTTCAATAAAGAGACAAGAATTGGAAGTCAAAGGCTTTTAGAAATAAACTGGCATTCAGAGACTGTGGGAAGCTGTGCAAATCCTGTTTATTTATAGATATATATTTTTATTCTAGATGGAGAATAGCAAACAAATTATAACAATTTATTCAACACGCTGCTGTTTGTTCTTTTCCAGAAAGTGAAAATCATCACAAATTCATTAACAAATCTATTAATTATTTTACTAAATCAAATTACATGCATTCTACAGCTCATTATTCCAACTGCTCTGCTTTGCAAGGAACAGACAAGACAACGTACAGGATGCACTTAGTTTTTTTCATTAGAAGCAATCAGTCTCAAGCCAGCAAAGTTCAATATTCACTGTTTCAATGGGACTGTTCCTAACAGTTAAGTATGTGCTAAAAGGATGTGGGTTTGTTTTTTTCATTTCTTATGAAATAATCTTCAGTATATTGACTACCTGCTGGCCACACTATTGAATCACTGTCGTAGCAAGGTTTCTCCTCCAATAGCTTCAAGATAAAAATTGCATAATTATTTTCCACTACTGAAGAAGACTTCTCTCTCTGCCAAGGAATGCCTTGCAGAACAAAGAACACTGAATGCTGCAGGTGCAGCCAAAAAGATCACTTACCACATACAACAAATATTTAGGGAAAACACACTGTTCACATTTGCCCAGTATCAACTACATCAGTGTATAAACCCTTCACACAAACCAGATTCAATCCAAATTCATGGATTTTAGAGTAATTGAGTGCTACATTTAAAATAAAATGTCTGCAGGTACCCACTCAGCCTACATTAGATGCAATTTTTAGAGTATCGAGAGTTTCTCTCAGTGCCATAAGAATTTTGTGGAGGGGTGGGAAAGTGTAGGGGGGAAAAATGGGGGATGGGGAACACAGGAATCAGGTCTCAGGATCCATAAATTTTTGCTCAATATGTTCTTGAAGGCAAAATTTGTGAATGTTTCCTTCTGCTTTCTATTCTTTAGTAGGTATGATAAAGACTCTGAGCTCTAGTATCTTCGCTTTCACTGCAAAAGTATTTTTAGTGTAGAAGTATAATACATCTCTCCACTCTGTTCTTCATGCTCTCTTAATCACGGGGGACTAGCTAGGTGCTTAAAGTTGAACTTTCATTGGAGAAAAAGCTTCATGTTCTACAAAAATAGCATAATAGGGCCTCCAAAAGTTCTCCCTGCAGACCTAATCCAGCTCCTGCTGAAATCAGTTTTGGAAAATTCAATCTTAGACCTTTATATCTGTCCTTTCATCCCAGGTGTTGCAGCCTCTGGCACCATCCCATATTGATTATAGGCCAACTTCAGTGCAGTTTACTGCCAGAATGGGCAGCTCTACCACTCCACCTGAAAGCTTTTTCCTTTCATCCATTTGTTTTTTGAGCTGGAAAGGGGATTAGCTTTGAGGCAAATTAGTCCTTGATCCAGCTCACCAGATGGCTACACAATCAAGGGTGGCAGGGCCAGGGACAGAGCAGGAAGGTGCAGCAGAGATGGTGAAGGATTTTCAGAGCCAGTCTGGATGTAAATTGGCTTAACATGCTTGCAAAACACTTAGGTTTCTCTGCACAATAGTTAAAGGATCATGCAGATTTTACCCAGCTAAAATTCTTATTAGTTCTAGAGAATGCTATTATTATGCTACAACAAACATCAGGCATGATGATATATATATATGCCCTCCACACCAGAATTTCTATGTCAGGAAACAAACCTTTCAAACCTCAAACCTGAAAGACATTTGAATGATCTGATAATTTCATTCTTTAGCTTTTAGTGACAATCTTCATATCTTCTTCAGGGGTCAGCTGCAATAAAACAACATCTGTCTCCTAATTTGAGACATTTTAATCCCAGTCTTGACTTCTATCAGGAGACTTCAACACACGCTTTTTTGTTTTGAGATCATTTATCTCTCCATCTCTACACCTTTCTTTGTCTTGTATAATCATAGCAATATAAGCAGGTATAAAGAATCAATCAGGTGGCATTACAAAGATAAGTGGTAGCCAACTTCTTTTTTTCTGAGTCTCCCAGCAAACCTAAATTTATCAGAATAGGTAAGGACTGGAATTCCACAGCTACAATCCATTAATCTGAATATCATTAATAGAGGACTTGATAGCTGTCTTGTCAGACCCTATGAGATGGCTGCCTGTAGCAAGGAAGTAGAATGTATGATCCTAAACCTCCACTCTAGCTGTATCTTCCAGTGCTTGCAAACACTGTTTTACCAGGAGAAGAAAGAAAGTCCTTCAATATCAGTCAAAGATATCTTGATTATGAACAGAACATTTGTTCACAGGCTCCAGTGGAGAAGAGGATGGGATCAAGTATACCCTGACACATGCCTACACTTCAACTGGTGGTAAAGACTTTCACCAACAGTGAACTGGAAAAAAAACAGGTGGCATTAGGACATGATTCATATCACTAGGACTAATTTCTTAATGGGTCAGATGACTCATGTCTAGAAGTACCTGTTTCTTTCAAACACAGAGTTGAACATGAACTACAAGAGAACAAAGCTAAGCATTGGCCTCTCTAGTTAGGACAGCTCCCTCTTCCTTCCACACTGTCTTAAAGAATACATAAATTATTCAATATAATGAAAACAGCATTAGAGTGACCTCAGCTGCCTAAATATACAAAGCCTCCTTCAGAGAGGAGACTTCACTAGCACTTTCTGCTGATGCAATTCAGTCTTGCCTGGAATAACTTGTATTATCCACTAAGACAGAAAGCAAGGAGAAAAATAAATACTCCAGCAGGTTCATATTTCCCTCTGGTAGAAGAAAGAGCTGGAGTTGGGCATTCCACCCACTGCATGTGCACTGTAGCCTCACAGCTAGTAAGTCAAGAGGACAATGGTGGCACCACTGCCATTATTTAATCACTTTTTTTTTTTTTTTTCTGGAACAACATAGGAGGAAATATGAAATGAAACTGCTAATAATTTCAGGATGGTTTAACCTACTTTTCAGTTTCCACATTAAAACATCAGTAGCAATAATTGCCTATCACCAAATACAGGAGTTAAACCTTTTTTTAAACAGCATGCAAAGGACAGTCTTTAAACATGATATTGTTTACCAGCATATCCATATGCTAACATATGTGATAACTCAAGTCTTCCTTCATCATTAAGAACTGTGCTTTGTCACTTCCTATTACATACTTCCAAATCACAAACATTTTGTCAAATACTTATCTCACAGGTAGCATCAGATTCTTTCTATGAACATGTCAGAGTTACAAATTCTTAGTAAATTGTTAGTCAGTAGGGTGCTTGCATGATTAAAGCCTTCTGGGCTTTGAAAGGCATTTTCTCTGTAGGAATTTGTCAAATTCTGTTTGGTTCACTATTGGGAGCACTTGAAAGACAAATAATGTTACACACAATCTGGCCACTGTAGATGCATTTCTGTCGTTTTAATGAGTTTCTCTCACTTTCAAACAACAAAATCATCACCATCTAGAAGGTAAGCAAACAATTAAACACAAGATAACTATTACGCCTATCCATTTAATGGCCATCTTCTGGTAATGTATATTCCCTAAAGTACACTGGTAGGTAATCATAGTGACACAAGATGGATTATATTTTGCTAAAGCTATGTGTTTTTTCAAGAGGAGGGAAACAGAAAGAGATAGTTTCCAGCCATTTAAATAGTAACAGATAGGGAGAAAACTGGGATAGATCACCAAGGCAAAAATTGCATGGTAGAGTCAAAATGAGCCAACCACATTATCACCTACCTTCCGTTTGTTTGTTGGAGAAACATACAAGTAGCTCAAAATAGTCTTCAGGCCAACTTTATCATTCAGTTTCTCATACGTTGTCCCATAATCTGTTGACCTACAATTCAAAGAGAGATTTCATAAGTACAAACACTTAATCACACAACCACAAGTCACTTGGCAGCTTTTCAGTATAAGTCATGGTTTACATTGCAGAATGGCTCTCTAGAGGTTTTTGAATGATTCATGTAGTATATAATGGCACCTAATTATATACACAGAGCATCACATGAGTGCTTATAATTTGCATTTAAATTAGATTAAGAAAAATTAAACCAGCACCTTCCCAAAGCACTTTAAAATAAACATGTGTAATAAGAAATGGTAAATTCTGAATATAAAAGAAGATAATGATTGTCAGAAATGCCAAACAGCAGACAGCAAGAGACTAAAGTTATCAATTAATTGTATACTCCAAGCTTCCTCTAGTTTTTAAGATAAGAGTCTTAGCATGTTCCAGTGTAGCTGCTCCAGTTGATTTTTCAGTGAAATTGGAGTCCAGTTTTCTGTGACAACCACTGGTATCCTTCTGGAAACCTTTAGTGTTACACCTGCAAGTTGCACAGTTCAGTCTTTTTTTGTTCTTCATATGGACTAGCAGAGAGTATGGACATGTGCTTTACTCTTGCTTTAAGAGCCACTATTTAGTAGAGAAAATAATGTATTTCTGATATGAGGGCTGCACATAGAGACAGTGACTACATGTCTTGGGGAAGAACAAAACAAGTGAACAAACAAAATCGTGCAGAGTTCCTGTGTCATCTACATCTGACATGTGACTGGAACCAAGAACAATTATCAGCAGAGGTTTTGTTCACTATGCAGCTCATGCTTTCCTGAATTATGTCCTAATATCCTGGAGATTTAGATAATTGACCCAAACCAGTACAGCTGGTATCCACTAACTGTAGAAAAGTGACATGTATCTAGGTAACAGAGACATTTAAAAATATAACCTATCCTTGCAGGTAATACATTTTAAAGACAAGATGGAGATTTACAAATGAGTCCATACAGAACTTCACCTGCAAGCAATAACATACATTTTCCTTTCTGCTAATCATTCGAAACCCAGTCCTTCTAAAGTAAACCCTAGGCACTTTTTATTTCCAAGCTCTCTCCTGTCTGGGAGAGTGGCTAAATTGACAAAGCTATTCACTTAATGCCTACCTTTTTAATTTTATTTTATTTTTTCATTTTCTTTTTCAGGGTGTGGAGGCTTCCGGATCAGGTTCCACACCTACATTCATACTACAGCTTGTGGAATTTCAGATTTTGCAACAAGTACATTAATAAAACAAGAAGGTAGCAGCTTGGGTTTCTATTTGCACTAAAATGAGGATTTGCATTAAAGTTGAACCTTTCTATTCAGGAACTTGATCAAAACATTTACATGTATCTGTCTTGGTCATATAACAACTGACCTATGGTCTATGACCATAGCATTTTCTTTCCCTCCCATTCCCCAATGAACATAGGCATTCCTCTGAGCATATATGACCTTTGTTGTTTACAACATGAACGGCAAGTTCTCATCTACTGATTGATCTTTCCCTTTATAAGGTCATCTCATTCAGAAGCACATATAAACTAACAGAGCTATTTCCTCAGAGGACTGAGAAGGAGGATACTGTTATGGTTATTTATGTTACTGACTATTTCAGAGATGTTCCAACATTAAGGTGAAGGGAGCCTGAATGTTGAAGGGAGCAGGATGCTGAAACACAGCACTGCCAAGGATTGCTGGTTTACTTCAGCTACCCCATCCACCTCACCACCCAGCTTTCTCAGAAATCAATTTTTCTGTCGCAGTCTAAAAAAAAAAAACCAACAACAAACCTATCCTTTGTGAAGTTTGGGTTTAAAAAGACATGTAAAGAATGTAAGGACTAAATCTGACTTTCTGAATTAGGCAGATATATATTAATGAAGTAATGCAGCTCTTCTTCATACCAGTGACAATTAGTTCAAAATGCAAGCTTTCAAAAGGCAATAGGAGTGAAGAAAACCTGGCACACAAAACTTGCTTTGAAATTGTTAAAGAAAAACAGACAGTCCTCCTGCCACAGCACAGGCAAACAGATGTTGAAAACCTCGTGCAAATGGCAGTCTTAACTAGAATTGCCAGCCATTTCTTATTTCAAATCTCTAGCCAATTGTTTTGCATTCATAGCTTTATTTACAGGTAAAATCACATGCAGATGGAAGTATACGCTTCTGGCAACATCCATAAAAGCAACTGAAAGATTGAAAGCTTAAAAAAACCCAACATTTTTTGCAGATGAACAAATATACAAGCGAACAATGAGCTACTAGAAGACCTCACACTCATTATCATGTGCTAAATTTGCAATAGTCAGTTCTTCTACTTCACCAGTTACAGCATTTTACAATTACTGTTAACAGGGAGGTAAATGTTACACAACAACAGATAGGCCCCTACAAGTGCTTTGACACAAAGAAACTGTGAGGCACACACAGAGCAGTGGGACAAAAGAATTGTATTGAATGAAACATGGCATACATATGAAGCCTCTGATGAATCTAAAGCTGGGGTATTGCCAACCTGCATTAATTTTATTATTTTTATAAATATATGTATGTACAAGCAGGCATTCATTAGCAGCCTGGATAACAAGCTCTTAATTTGTCTTATTAAATGGGTGTATAAAGCAGCATGAGACTCCTAAGTCATGAAAATATAACAACCATTTGGTGATCCAGGAAGTCAGCCTAAACTGGAAGTTTTGCAAAAGCCAGATGCACCTCAGCTGAGTGTAGGCAGCAATGACAGTGTACAATTCAATCCCTGTTATCTGAACGGAAACAGATGTATCAACCAACATCTTCCACATTTTGTGTGGTAGGCTGCTTCTGAAGCTCTGCAGAGAAAACTCTGTGCATCTGTGCAACATGAGCAGAGCAAGAAAAACCTGGCTAGATCTGAAAGGGCTAAATCCAGGACCTGCAGAGCTGAAAACACAAAAATTAAACTCTCTACCTTCTGAACCATCTGCTGAAAAGCAACAGCTCCGGAAACAACCATATGAACAGTAAGCTCTGTTTTACTAGCTCTTGTGTAGACATGCATGTTGCAATGGTTTCTCAAATTCTTTTGGGGAGGGAGGGTCTTTATACATGTTCCATCAAATTAATTTAAATCCCTGAATAAATTGTTTCATTTTGGCTTGACTTGGCTTGGTAGAGTTACAGTGATAGATTAAGTCAAAATAAGTCCAGATCTCTCTGAAATATGAAGGTCTGCAGAGAGATTTCAAGTACGTGCAAGTCTAACTAAATGTGGAAAAAATAGATATGTTAGGACACTGTGGACTTACATTACTGAAATGCAGATGATACTTAGTAAAAAAAATAAATAAATAAACAGAAACAGAATATTTAGAATAAATTCTGAACTTTAAACCTGTCCCACCATTTTAACTAATTGCTGCCATTAAATCTATCTGAAAATGTCACTGTTCAGAATCACACTCCCTAGTTTTTCAGTAAAACAGAATGATTTCTGCAAATATTCAAGATAAACATTTTAATTATTATGAGTTCATTTGACTGCATAAAAAATACCATAACTGTGGGACTGAAGCTCTGACTTCCCTGAGTACTAAATTAAAACAAAACTAGAAACACGTAGAATAATTTATATTTTGCAAACTATTTGCAAGAAAGTTGACATTTAAATAACTTCATTATTATTCATTGACAGGGCTTTTCCCTCTCCTCCTGTCAGGGTAAATGACATTTCTATTACAGTATTGTAATAAACTCCTGCACATTTTAAATAAAGTCACTGAATTCCATTAGTCCACCTACTGTCATGAATATATCACAATCCATTCCTACCAATATTTCACAATTATAATAGGCATTCTGAATCAACCACTAACACGAACCCTATGGAAATTTTCTTCTTTCTAAAGAAGCACAGACTGAAATTCAGAGGACTGTCAGTTTGAATATATAGATTAAATAAATTCCCTAGCAAGTTGCTGTTTACTCTCCTGTGTTACAAATTTAAGGTTGTCTGTACTTATTTTGCATAAACTGCTGAAGACTTAAAGAATCAACCAGTTGTTTGTTTGGTTAAGGTTTGTTTTGCTACAAGATCTTTCTGGAAAACTCCATAAGAAAAAAGAAAAGCATTACATGCAGACTTTAAGTTCCCTTACACCATGTATCCTGCTTATTGGGGTGCTTTCTTCCCATGAAAGACATATGCTTAACATATGAAATACATGAAGGTCCTTGTCATAACACAAATTAAGGCACAATCACTTTAATTGGCACCATTCACTATTTTTTTTTTCTTTTCCCACCAGTTATTCCTGGTTTTCATATATTAATATGACTGCTTCCCTCACCATGAGAAGATTGTCTGTGTATTGTGTCCTCAATTTCCTTCCTCCTCAGTTTAATTTGCTGCTCTAACTGCTGTCCAAGTGGCAGCCAGCCCTGGGCGGCAGGACCAGAGACATCTGCAATGTAGTTAGGGAGCAGCAGAGCAGGGCAGGGCAGCCTGTCCTGACCAGGAACAATGTGAAGGAGGCTTCTAGCCTGTTTCTCCTTGTGCACATTAATTCATCCCTGGCAGAAGACAGGTATTTTAAGAAAGAAACAGCAGCAACTATTAGATCATCTGTTCTAATCTCCTGCCTAACTGTATTTGCCACCTGTTTTTTCTCCAAAGGGACTGGCCAGTTGAGCACAAGATTTGCCAGTTGCTATCATACTAATCTCTACATGAGCAGATCTTTGGAGAGAAGTCTTTCAGAACACAGACTGTGAACTCACAGGCTGCTCTTACCAAAGCTTTTCACTGAACAAGTTTTTGAATAAAGAAATAGTTAAGACATTAAACATGATCTTACATGTCTGAATGTGAAAAATACTGGACCTGGTAATTCTGAAGCACATTTGTATTCCTGTGTGCAATGGTTTAAGCCAGTTTGTAAACTCTGTTGAGGAATTGTTGATTTTTGCATTTTTTCTTTCTGCTGATCTTTCTAGGCTGAGGTCCTATTCCCTCACCACTTAAACTGA